ACATGTACCTCTCAAGTTTTGTCAACACCAGCTGTTGAAGAGGCTGTCATATCCCCAATGTATATCCGTGACTCCTTTATCATATATTAATTGATCATATATGTTTGGGTTAATGTCTGGAGACCCTATTCTGTTCCACTGGTCTGTGGATCTGTTCGTGTGCCAGCACCAAATTGTCTTGATTACTGTGGCTTTGTAGTACAGCTTGACGTTGGGGAGCAAGATCCCACCACCACTTTATTCTTCCTTCTCAGGATTGCTTTGGCTATTCGGGGACTTTGGTAGTTTCATATGAGCTTTTGAACTATTTGTTCCAGTTCATTGAAGAATGCTGTTGGTAATTTGGTAAGGATTGCTTGAATCTGTAGATTGCTTTTGGCAGGACGGCCATTTTTACAATATTAATTCTTCCTAGCCAGGAGCATGGGATGAGTTTCCATTTGTTAGTGACCTCTTTAATTTCTCTTAAGAGTGTCTTACAGTTTTCGGGTTAAAGGACTTTCACTTCCTTGGTTAAGTTAATTTCTAGGAATTATACTCTTTTATAATGCAATTGTGAATGGAATTGTTTTCCTGATTTCTCTTTCTTTTAGTTCATTGTTAGTGTATACGAAAGTCTCACATTTCTGTGTATTAATTTTGTATCCTGCAACTTTACTGTATTCCGATATTGGTTCTAGTAGTTTTGGAGTGTAGTCTTTAGGGTTTTTTATGTACAATATCATGTCATCTGCAAATAGTGACAGTTTAACTTCTTCTTTACCAATCTGGATTCCTTGTATTTCTTTGTTTTGTCTGATTGCCATGGCTAGTACCTCCAGTACCATGTTAAATAACAGTGGAGAGTGGGCATCCCTGTCTTGTTCCCGATCTTAGAGGAAAGCTTTCAGCTTCTTGCTGTTCAGTATGATGTTAGCTGTGGGTTTGTCATATATGGCCTTTATTATGTTGAGGTACTTGCCCTATGTTGAGGTATACCCATTTTGTTGATAGTTTTTATCATGAATGGATGTTCAATTTTGTAGAATGCTTTTTCAGCATCCATGGAGAAGATCAGGTGGTTTTTGTCCTTTTTGTTAATGTGGTGGATGATGTTGATGAATTTTCAAATGTACCACCCTTGCATCCCTGAGATGAATCCCACTTGGTCATGGTGTATGATACTCTTTATGTATTTTTGAATTCGGTTTGCTAATATTTTGTTGAGTATTTTTGCGTGTATGTTCATCAGGGATATTGGTCTGTAATTTTCTTTTTTGGTGGGTTCTTTGCCATGTTTTGCTATTACGGTGATCCTGGCTTCATAGAATGAGTCGGGAAGTAATCCCTCATCTTCTATTTTTTGGAAAACGTTAAGGAGAGTGGGTATAATTTATTATCTGTATGTCTGATAAAAGTCCATGGTAAATCCATCCAGCCCAGGAGTTTTCCTCAATAGTTTTTTTTATTATTGCTTCAATTTCATTGCTGTTAATTGGTCTGTTTAGATTTTCTGTTTCTTCCTTGGTCAGTCTTGGAAGGCTGTATTTTTCTAGGAAGTTGACCATTTCTTCCAGGTTTTCCAGCTTGTTTGCATATTGTTTTTTGTAGTATTCTCTAATAATTCTTTGTATTTCTGTGGGGTATGTTGTGATTTTTCCTTTCTCATTTCTGATTCTGTTTATGTGTGTAGATTCTCTTTTTCTCTTAATAAGTTTGGCTAGAGGCTTATCTATTTTATTTTCTCAAAGAGCCAGCTGTTGGTTTCATTGATTTTCTCTATTGTTTTATTATTCTCAATTTTATTAATTTCTTCCTGACCTCCATTATGACCCTCCTTCTACTAGCTTTATGCATCATTTGTTCTTCTTTTTCCATTTTCGATAATTGTGTTTTTAGAGTATTCATTTCGGATTGTTCTTCCTTCTTTAAATATGCCTGGAATGCTATATACTTTCCCCTTAAGACTGCTTTTGCTGCGTCCCACAGAAGTTGGGGCTTTGTGTTGTTGTTATCATTTGTTTCATATATTGCTGGTTCTCCATTTTAATTTGTCATTGATCCATTGATTATTTAGGAGCATGTTGTTAAGCCTCCATGTGTTTATGAGCCTTTTTGTTTTCTTTGTACATTTTATTTCTAGTTTTATACATTTGTGGTCTAAGTAGGTTGGTAGAATTTCAACCTTTTGGAATTTATGGAGTCTGTTTTTGTGGCCTAGTATGTGGTCTATTCTGGAGAATGTTCCATGTGCACTTGAGAAGAATGTGTATCCTGTTGCTTTTGGGTGTAGAGTTCTATAGATGTCTATTAGGTCCATCTGTTCTAGTGTGGTGTTCAGTGCCTCTGTGTTCTTACTTATTTTCTGTCTGGTGGATCTTTTCTTTGGAGCTAGTGGTGTGTTGAAGTCTCCTAAAATAAATGCATTGCATTCTATTTCCTCCTTTAATTCTGTTAGTATTTGTTTCACATATGTTGGTGCTCTTGTATTGGGTACATATTATTTATAATGGTTATATCCTCTTGTTGGTTTGACACCTTTATCATTATGTAATGTCCTTCTTTATCTCTTGTGACTTTGTTTTGAAGTCTATTTTCTCTGATACTAGTACTGCAACACCTGCTTTTTTCTCCTTGCTGTTTGCATGAATTATCTTTTTCCATCCCTTGACTTTTATTCTGTGCATGTCTTTGGGTTTGAGGTGGGTCTCTTATAAGCAACATAGAGATGGGTCTTGCTTTTTTATCTATACTATTATTCTGTGTCTTCCAATTGGTGCATTCAGTCCATTTACATTTAGGGTGATTATTGAAAGATATGTACTTATTGCCATTGCAAGCTTTAGATTCGTGGTTACCAAAGGTTCAAAGTTAGCTTCGTTACTATCTTACTGTCTAACTCAACTCACTTACTCAGCTATTAAACACAGGGTGATTATTCTTTATTACTCTCCCTTCTTATTCCTCCTCCTCCATTCTTTATATGTTAGGTGTTTTATTTTATGCTCTTCTGTGTTTCCTTTAACTGCTTTTGTGGGTAGTTGATTTTACTTTTTGCCTTTAGTTGGTGTTTGATTCTTCTGCTTCCTTTGCTGTGATTTTATTTTATCCTGTTGATATCTATTTGGCCTTAGGAGTGCTTCCATCTGGAGCAGTCCCTCTAAAATATCCTGTAGAGGAGGTTTGTGGGAGACAAATTCCCTCAAATTTTGCTTATCTGGGAATTGTTTAATCCCTCCTTCATATTTAAATGATAATTGTCCTGGATACAGTATCCTTTGTTCAAGGCTCTTCTGTTTCATTGCATTAAATATATGCCATTCTCTTCTGGCCTGTAAGGTTTCTTTTGAGAAGTCTGATGATAGCCTGATGGGCTTTCCTTTGTATGTGACCTTCTTCCTCTCTCTGGCTGCCTTTAATACTCTGTCCTTGTCCTTGATCTTTGCCACTTTAATTATTATGTGTCTTGGTGTTGTCCTCCTTGGGTCACTTGTGTTGGGAGTTTGGTGTGCTTCCATGGTTTGAGCGACTGTTTCTTTCCCCAGTTTCAGGAAGTTTTCAGCACTTATTTCTTCAAAGACACTTTCTATCCCTTTTTCTCTCTTCTTCTTCTTGTACCCCTATAATGCGAATATTGTTTCATTTGGATTGGTCACACAGTTCTCTTAATATTGTTTCATTCCTGGACATCCTTTTATCTCTTGCTGTCTCAGCTTCTCTGTGTTCCTGTTGTCTTATTTCCGTTCCATTAATAGCCTCTTGCACCTCATCCAGTCTGCTTTTAAGTCCTTCCAAAGGTTCCTTTTTTTTTCTGTAATCTTCATCCTTATCTCTAGCATATTTCTCTGGAACTCCATCAGCATGGCTATGACCTTTATTTTGAATTCTTTCTTAGGAAGATTGGTTAAGTCTATCTCCCCAGGTTCCCTCTCAGGAGTGGATGTCTGTGTGATTCTAGTCTGGATCAAATTCTTCTGCCTTTTCATGGTGATAGAGGTAGTCATGGGCAGTTGGTGCATGTGTCAGCTGGGAGAACAAAGTCCCTTCCTGCTTGCTCCTCATCTTCCTCTCCTGGGAGAACAGCAACCCCTAGTGGCTTGTGCTGGGCAACTGTGCACAGACGGGGTCTCTGATTCTTGCCCGGGCTGCTGTGGAGGAAACTCTGCACAGCTAATGTGGGCATGGCCAGCCTCAGGCTGCTACTCCACTATGGCGGGGCCATGCCAGAGGTGGAACTGGTGGGAGGCTGTTTATCGCCGTGAGGGGCCTCACAGCTGCACTGCTGCCCAGGCATTTAGGGTGCCCGGAGTTCTCCGGTATTCCCAGCTGCTGAGCTGAGTGTGCCAGGATGCTTCCGTCCAGCTGGGTGGCTCCTGTCCCTTTAAGACTTTCAAAAAGCACTCGCTTTTCTTTTGTCCAGGGGCGCTGGCTGTGGGAACCCACTCACAGGTTTTACTGTTCTGTTTCCCTAGTATCCAGCACACCATGCACTGTGTGTCTATGCTCCCGGTGCAGATGACTGGTATTTGGCATTCCTGGGCTCCCTCTCCCTCCCCGCTCTGACTCCTCTCCTCATACAGGGGAGCTGGGGTAGGGCTGGTGCTCGGGTCCTGCCAGGCCGCGGCTTGTATCTTACTCCCTTCATGAGGCACTGGGTTCTCACAGATGTAGATGTAGCCTGGCTGTTGTCCTGAATCTTATGTCTGGTCTCTCTTTTAAGAATAGTTGTATTTGTTGTATTTTCAAAAATATATATGGTTTTGGGAGGAGATTTCCACTGCCCTACTCACACTGCCATCTTGGCTCCACCCCCCAGGGGAACTTTTAAGGTAAAAGAATTGTTCTCTTCAGTATTAGCATGGTAAATATATGGGTCTGTGCATTTGTCAAAACACTATACAACTATACATCACAAAGTGCAAACTTTAAATTATGCCAACTAAATAAACCAGCAAAACACATCAACCAGGATGTTGAAGATCCCAGCATGGAGGGCACCTGACTGCTTTGTACGGGCATACATAACTGCACAGAACAGGGGCAGCAGGAAAGGGGCCGACCTAAGCAGTTTTGGAAATGAGCTTTTGACAGGGAGTTGTAAGGCCTAGAAAACAAAAAAAGGAACCATACATAAACACTGTTTCAGTAAATCTGTTCCTCACAGAGATATAGGCAACAATTCTGAAACTGTACAGAGTGGCTTCAATAAATAAGGGATAATAGAAGGTGGGAGCCATGTTTCTCACTGTCAACCAGGAAAATTACAGAAAAACAAAAAGGAAGGCTAGAATGAACTCATGCAAATTCTAAAGCATTGAATTAAGAGTTACACACATAAGTATGAACTCATGGTTCGCTTAATATACAGAAACAAGTGTAGATATGTCTATTTACATGAGTTATTGTATATGTGTATCTATTACCTGGCTCTGTCTGCTGGGAAGGCCTAGAAGCATTGATTCTCCAGTAGCAGAGTCAACTAAAACAGCCAGGACCCATATCCTGGTTCCTTAATCTCATTATCCAATAAAAGGAACCAGGGCTCCTTGGAGAAATGGCTGATTCTAGGCCTAGGACAGGGAAAATACAAGCTGAGCCAGGATTATTTTATAGCATCACAAAGTAAGGAAGTGCTCAGGAGAAACAAAAGGAGGTGACATGCAAAAAGGACATAGAAAACAACCTCAAATAGTTCCCAATGGCCAAGTTACAACAAAACAATGTGAGCAACAAGATAAAAATAATGCAGCATTGGATTATAACACAAAGCATAAAATAAATATGAGTCTACACCATAGGAATAAATAACATAAATAAAAGGAGTAGGAGACAGATCTTCCTTACAGAAGAATTCCAAATATTACATGCAGATGCTCTCCTTGCCAGCAGGTAGTCTAATCCCCTTCACCTTATTATCCAGGAGGGATCAATCTAATCATAATAAGCCTTATAATTAGGGACACACACCCTGCCCACCCCTACCCTGACTGTAGTCAGAGGGAGACATGACTAAGAAAGAAAAGTTACAGTTGCACGGCTTGGAAAATTAAGAAAGGGGGCTGTAAGCTAAGTAATGTGAGTGGCCTTATAGATGGTAGAAAAGGCAAGGAAATGGAATTCTCCCCTAGTTTCCACAAAGGAATACAGGCCTGCTGACACTTTTATTTTAGCTCAGTGAAACTCTTGTCAGACTTCTGATTCATAGAACTGCAAAATACATTTTTGTTGTTTCAATGCACTGTTTGTGGTAATATGTTAGAGCAAGCACAGGAAACAAACAGAGGCACTACTGTACCCTTGTATGAAGACACAGTCAAAAACTTACTATGCAAAGATGGTACCATTATAGCCGCTCAAGCAAGACTCCACAATACGCTTTGCCCACCATTGAGAAAAAAGACTCCTATGAACATAAGCACCAAATACATTAATATCACATAAAAATAAAAACATTTTTCCTAAACTACATTCTAAAATATAACAATAAAAAGTGTGTGCTTACCGTTTCTTGGACTTGCCATTGGAATGAGGAGGGAGATGTCTAGGCTGGCATGTGCATACAGTGAGAAAACAAATTTGACTGGATCTGTACTGTTGGAACTCAACCAGGAGTTGGGAGGGGTGCAAGTTGTAGCACTCCAAAATCTTATGACTATAGACTATCTATGGTTAAAAGAACATATGGGATGTGAACAGATCCCAGAAATGGGCTGCTTTAATTTGTCTGATTTCTCTCAGACTGTTCAAGTACAGTTGGACAATATCCATCATATCATAGACAAATTTTCACAAATGCCTAGGGTGCCTAAATGGTTTTCTTGGCTTCACTGGAGATGG